ACACATACTCTCTCTCTCTCTCTCTCTCTCTCTCTCTCTATCTCTCTCTCTCTCTCTCTCTCACGCACACACTCACAAACACACATACGCACAATGACATGTACATACAATCAGACATAATAATTAATTCAATATAACATCTTCACAAGCATTCATATTGAAACATAACAGGAAAACCACGGGCACCTTTGAGTGTGCTTTTACAAAAATCTGCGTACCCATTAACATTATATGGATGCACTCAGTCTTGTACAAAATGTATACATCCTTTCTTGCACTACATAGACATAATATATAGAGAAAGGGAGCAAGATAGACAGACAGATAGAAAGACAGATAGATAGACAGATAGATGGATAGATCGATAGAGAGACAGATAGATAGATAGACAGATAGAGACGGATAAATAGACAGATAGATAGATAGATAGACAGATAGAGATGGATAGATAGATAGATAGATAGATAGATAGATAGATAAATAGATAGATAGAGAGAGAGAGATTGAGATAGAGAGATAGAATAAACATACAATAATAGATACAAATGATTCGTATAGGTGTTCCAAAATGGCTGGCAGTACACGAATGCTCAACAAAACTACTTGACCCCAGTCTGGACCTCCCTCTGCCACATGCATCCAATAGAATAGTTTGTACATTATTATCGCCATGCCCCGAACAAATGAACAGGCGTTAACAAACGAAGAGAAACACGCAGTACACGATTTTCAAAGCCAGTTCGTTTGTCTTGTATCCTTTCGTGTCCTAGGCTAGCTTTCCAGGTCAGCTCATAATTTCGCTTGATTTTGAAGTTTCCAGGTCAGGGATAGCTAAAAACGTGTTTACTTTGCCCCGGAATCTTAGCTCTCTTCAGAGTAGTTGTAGTTGTAGTTGTAGTTGTTGTAGCCGTAGTAGTTGTAGAGAACTTACGTCCCAATACGCACACTTCAGATAATTAACAACGCATGATGCTTCGACTCTGCCTTTCGTGGTCAACTCGGGCTGCTGAAAGAGATACAGCATTCCAGCACATAGACGAAGATACTCGATTAAAAAAAAATGTATATCCACATAGGAATGGAACTCCAAGTCTTCTGCGTAAGAGGGCAAAGTGTCTAACCACTTAACCACAGACACCGGTCGCTCCTTCTGCAACAGCACCAATAAATAACTGCATTTAAAAAATCAACAACCATGACGTCATGAACGTCAGGTGAGGTCAAACAATGCTCAGCAACATCTTTCTATGCAATTATCAACGGTTCACCGTTGGGCAGTTGAACAGTTTTGAAGTACGTGCTGTGCTCTTGCTCCCAAGGAGATAGTTTCAACAGACGAGCTGACCAGAATTGCGAGTGCTCTTCCGCTTTGGAAACTCCGAAGGAGACGTACTCAAATTTCCCGTTCGCCTTCAGCTCCTCGGGGGGATTCGGCCGTCTGTTGGAGCAGATAATATTGTGAACGTCGGAAATTGCCACAGTGATGTTCCCTTCTCTCAACATGCCGAACGCGTATGCGTCATCAATGGGCACTAGCGTCTTTGATTCAAAAGATTTCTCGTACAAAACCGGAACTAGATCCGCGGTGAAGACTAGGAAATATCCCGGGCAAAATGGCGGCCAGTTTTTGCGCGAAGGAACCGCCTGCTCGCTGACGTACCAGCGGCTGCGTTCGTCTCGCTGAATCGCCATACTCTCTTTGTGGTCGCACACCATGGCGAAACGGTTGCCCGCCGTCTTAGGGATGAGGTCAGTGACGACTCGGAACATGTCCACGAACATATCGTCGTCCGCTTTGACCACGTACCTCGCCTGTGCGCAGTGCTCGTTGATCCACGCCAGCGTTGTGATCGCTTTGTACGTCAGGTTTTTGAAGGTGTCCGAGAAATTCCCCTGCACGATATCGCCGTAACTCGCGGACTCTGTCTGCACGCGGAGCTGGTTGACGCGATCTGAAGGCAGGCCCAGGATGAAGACGAGCTTGACGCTGATGTCCGTGAAGGTGTGGCTGCTTCCCCACGTCTGGCGGATGGCGCGCCTTCGGACCCGTTGCTCGGCCGCGCTGTGGAGGTACAGGAGAATGTCCACCTTGCCCGAGCCACACAACTCAGGGTTCTTGATGATGTAACCGGGGAACAGAGGGTGTGCTTCGGAGGGCTTGCCGGACGCGTTGAACTTTTCCCGGCCGTCGAATAACTTCCTGGCGTCGAATAACTTCCTGGCGTCGAAAGCGTCGCTTTCTTTCTTCTTCGAGCGATCATTCGTCTTTATTTTTGTAGCGTTTACGACAAGCGTTTTGCTTGAGTTCCCTATAGATTTTTGAGTCCCGGCTGTTTGGGGCACAAGGTCTGAGTTTCTCTGGAATCTTCGAAGTCCCTGGAAAGTCGAGACGAGGGAGCTCGTCGTTGGTGATCGGTCTTGGGCGAGGATAAATAAGAAAACTGCAGCCCCCAGCAAGAAGGGGGCCACCTTGGCCAAACGCCGACGAGAGAACATGGTGTCTAGAGATTCCCGCCCCAGATTTCTACCGTGACTGTTAAAATGTCAGACCAACTGCAGAACCGCGCAAAACTTGCAAAGGTTCAGAGAGTATTTTTTACCGCAGCATAGCGTCCAGAGAGGGGGTGTCCTTGAACTTGTGACGCGTCATCCATCCGGATGAAGAGAAAAAAACCCACACAAAATCTTTGACCCGGATGTAGTTATTAACAAATGCCAGTCTCCGTGCGCTTCCCAGCTCCTGGAGAAAGACAACAAAGGAAGGAGTCAACGCAAAAGGCGGTGTTGGTTTGGTTCATGGCTTTTATTTCTGAGTGGACGCACAAGGAAAAAATCACAAGAGAAAGAGAAATCTAAATTAAAAATAAATATTTGTCGTGACCTGGTGGAATCGGGCGCTCGTCAATTTTTGGGCATATGAGGTTATTGGTATCATCTTAAAGCCTATTTATTTGCCTTGCTTTTGGTGGAAAAAATGTCGAAGTCGAAATATTTGCGATTGAAGGTCAGAGTCGCCTGGTTTCAGAGGCAAAATAGTGAGAAAATGGCCACTAAAGTTTGATAATATCCATAGCTTGAGAGTCATTGAAAACTGGAAAAATTACATTTTTTTGTGGCTTCAATCAATGTTTTTCAGTAAAATTCACTTAGAGATGTGTCTTTAAAAGGATATAAAAGGTGTTCCCCCGAAAAAAAAAAAGAAAAGCAAATAAAAAAATTTCTCAACAGTCAGAACAATGCCAAATTCATTGATTTCATTATTTGACCAGGGCCTGATTTCACCTCGATGTCTCACCCCGATTTACATTAGGGAACATTTGCTACAATTACAATATTATTTATTGTCAAATAAAGATTCAACTCTGTAAACAACACACTACACATAGAGTAAAGATTCCACTCTGTAAACAACACACTACACATGGAGCAAAGATTCAACTCTGTAAACAACACACTGATGGTGGTTGGCGGGTGCTCTGGTGTGGTTTGCTTCTTCTATCCTATCAAACGTCCATCGTCTTTATCTCCCCTCCTTCTTTTTTGTGTTTATTACTTTCTTGTAACACCTCTAAACTTCGGCATTTATATGATCTTATTGTGTTGCAAGTGCCGCAAAACACTTACT